CTTACGCAAAGACATAGGAAGAATGACCCAGTATATTAACGGAAATAGAAATTTGAACCTAATAACACATATTGAAAGAATTAAACTCAAATACGGTAAACACTCTAGCTATGAGGAGCCTAACACAACTAACGAACAATTCATGGATAGTTTAAAACAAAAACTCACAGCAATAACAAGCCGACGCCGCAGATACTTTAATTGTACTAAACGTAAAGACCAAAATACCCAGTTCACTAATTGCGAAAGACAATTTTATAGAAACTTAACTTCCGACACAGCAAACACATATAATAGACCACAAGCATCAGATAGTCTCAATCCGAACCCTAGACAATTTTATAGTTATTGGTCTAACATATGGTCAAACACGTCCGAACACAACCAGGCTGCTGGATGGATACATGACGACAAACAAAAGGTCCAACATTTACCAGATATGTTATTAGACGCAATCCCTTTAGAAGTATTTGTCGACGTGATTAAAAAGGCACACAACTGGAAGGCGCCGGGTACGGACAATATTCACAATTACTATTACAAAAAATTCACCTACTTATATCCATCAATTTACAAACATATCAATGATTTTATCAAAAACCCCCTGTCAATACCAGAATTTATCACACAAGGTCAAACATACATGATTCCTAAAGATTCGAATTGCATAAATCCAGCTAAATACAGACCTATAACTTGTTTGCAAACCATATACAAATTAATTACAGGCTGCATATCTGAAATAATATACAAACATGTTACACAAAACAATATTCTAGCGGAGGAACAAAAGGGATGTCGCAAATATAGCCAGGGTTGTAAAGAACAATTAACCATAGATTCCATAGCCATGAAACACAGCGTTAAATTAAAAAATGATATTTGCACTATGTACATTGATTATCAAAAAGCTTTTGATTCGGTTCCACACAGTTGGCTACTTTATATACTAAAACATTATAAAATTCATCCATCTATCGTAGAGTTTTTGACAGAATGCATGAAACATTGGAGCACTAAAATTAAGCTAGGAAAACTGATAGAAACAGACCCCATTCCTATCAGGCGAGGAATATTTCAGGGAGACGCCCTCAGCCCTCTTTGGTTCTGTCTCGCTTTAAACCCTTTATCCAGTCTTCTAAACTCGTATGGACACGGCCTCACAATACAGTCTAATAACACCTCTGACTTTAAACTAACTCATCTGATGTTCATGGATGATATCAAACTTTACAGTAATAGTACATCTGGATTACATTCTCTTGCAGATCTTACAAAAACTTTTTCAGATGATATACACATGGAATTTGGTATTGACAAATGCAAAACATTTACCCTCCGAAAAGGACAGTATATTGAACATAATCCATACATACTAGACTCAGGACAGACAATAGAATCAATGACACATAATAGTTCATATAAATATCTAGGTTTTGAACAAACACACCAAATTGATCAAAAACATACTAAAAGTAAAATAATTGCTAAATACAAACACAGGCTTAACATACTAATAAGATCACAATTAACATCCCGTAACTTAATCAAGGCCATCAACTCATTTGCCATCCCCGTGCTCACCTACTCTTTCGGAATTATAAACTGGTCTAACAGCGATCTCACTAAGGTTCAACGATTAATAAATACAATTTTGACCACCAATAGGAAACACCACCCTCGTTCTTGTGTACAAAGATTGACATTGCCGAGAGACGATGGAGGACGGGGTATAATAGACATAAAAAACTTACACAATCAGCAGATTTTTAATTTGAGAAAGTTTTTCATGCACATGTCACAAAATAGCCCTTTCCACAAAGCAATATGCCAGATAGATAAAAAGTATACTCCACTTAATCTACATTCTAATGGCCCTCAGCCTAATGAACAAATAGCAAGTAAATCAGACAAGATAGCAGCTTGGACTCATAAATCCCTCCACGGAAGGCATCGCCTCGATCTGCAGCAACCTCATGTCGACATGAAAGCGTCGAACGCGTGGCTGCGGCGAGGTGAACTCTTCCCAGAAACGGAGGGATTTATGATTGCCATACAGGACCAGATTATTGACACAGCAAATTATCAAAAATTCATTATTCGTAGACCCAACTATAACGATTCATGTAGAAGATGTCACAGTGCCTCAGAGACTATTCAGCACATCACGGGTGCCTGTAGAGCCATAGCCCAGACTGACTATAAACACCGCCATGACCAAGTAGCTGCAATAATTCACCAGTCACTAGCCATACAAACTAAATTACTCACTGACAAGGTATCATATTACAAATACAAACCACAAGCAGTATTAGAAAACAAACATTTTAAATTGTATTGGGACAGAACCATCATCACAGACAAAACAATATACAACAACAGACCAGACATAACTTTGCTAGATAAACAGAAAAAGTTAGTTTACATTGTAGATATAGCCATATGTAACACCCACAATCTCACTAACACATACTCCGAAAAAATAGCAAAATACACAGACCTATCAATAGAAATTAAAACACAGTGGAACATTACCCATACCAAAACTGTCCCAATAATTTTATCCACCACGGGAGTAATCCCGAAAACTCTCCACAGTAGTCTTAAGGAATTAAATATAAGCCCATCAACTTACCTTCTTCTCCAAAAAGCAGTTATTTTGAATACCTGTCGTCTAACCCGAAAATTTTTAAATGCATAAGTAAACAGATTTTTTTATCAACCGCACTTGGCTTCGGCCCGTGTTTTATAAACCCCACTTAGATGGGAGAAACATAAAATGTTCCAGAAATAATAATAATAATAAAATTTATTTATCCACAGTTACATAAAGTTTGCCTTAAAGTTAGTTACTATTAGGTACAATTTATTTGTTGTAACTTGGTGTTGTAGCGGACAATGCTTTTTGGAACGGCGGTCCCCAAACTAGGCAAGGCCTGTATCTTGGGGTCCCGAGTTGTGGTTACCAAAGAACCTTAGTAGAAAAGTCGGTCGGGACGTGTGCGGTGCATTTGTTGTGGACAGAAATAAAAACTTAAACAAAACATTCTATAAAATACAAATAAAAAAACTTAATATTAAACTAGGTAATTTAAACGTTTTTTAAATAAATATTGTCTCCTTCTAGACATTGAAAGAAAAAAGAAATTATAATTCTAAGAAATTTTAAATTTATTCGAGCTTAGCTTATCTATCAGTCTCAGCTTGATACTTGTGTGTGTGTGTGTGTGTTTGTGTGTGTGTGTGTGTGTTTGTGTGTGTGTGTGTGTGTGAGAGAGCGTGTGTGGGCGCGCGGGGGGTGTTAGTGCGTCCTTTCGAGTGTAGATTGTGTTGTGAGAATATTTTCTGTCTCTTCGTATGAAAGTTCTTTTAACCATTTTTTTAGTATCCTCTTACATGAGGAAAGTGACAGCTCATTTGTGTCAATTGGTAACCTGCGGTGAACGTTGTTGAAGACAGTTGTGTGGAGATAGGAAGGGCATCGTCTGGTTAAGAGGGAAGTCGTGCGTGGTATTGGGATTTTGAATATACGTTTTGACGTGAGTGCATTGTAATCTGGTCTTCCTTTCAGGGATCTTTGGGCGTGTAAGTATGCATTGAGGATAAATAGTTGACGGACACGCAGAACTCCAAATTCTTTGTATAGGGTGTCTGTTGGATAGAGCCTTGGCCTCTTAAGGATAACTTTGATCACTGCCCTTTGGGCTCTTTCAAGGTCTATGAATGTGGTTTTTCCCGCTCCTCCCCAAGTAGATATGCCGTACTGAATAATGGACTGGCATATCGCGTAATATACCATGAGCAGTGTATCCTTTGGTGTGCGGTCTCTGAGTTTCTTCATAATGTATATGAGTTTTCTGACTCGACCTGATAAATGTTGAATGTGTGCTTTGTAGGAGAGATTTTCGTCGATGAGGAGGCCTAAGTAGCGAATGGATTGGATTCGTTGTATACGCTCACATGAACAGTTTTCTCTTGATTTGTGTGGGGAGCATGTATGGAATTTAAGTGAAAGATTGGGAGGTGGACTGGATGTTGTGGTTTTGAAAAATGTAAGAAGCTTGGTTTTTTTAACGTTTAGTGTAAGCAGATTGTGGTTTAGAGTTTCTGCCACTGTTGCGAGACCTTCCTCGGCTAAATTGAATAGGCGTTCCCAGGTTTTGGAATGGAAAATTACGACAGTGTCGTCAGCGTAAGATATTAACTCTGCATTCATTTTACTTTGTATTAAATTAGAAAAACACTAATTAACTACTGTAACAAATTACTTCAACGGAAACATTCGTCTAATCAACAATTGTTGTTCCTTTTTAAATGCATCTGCTACAGGGGAGAATCCCTGTGTAAATGCAATGTAACCTATTCATATTAAACGTTAAAAACTATTTTTTTTAATAGCTGTTCTTTATTTATATCTGTTTCTTAAGTTTTGTGCGGACTGTGTCTACCCATATTCAGTCCTGGCTAGAAAGAAGACTATCGATATTTCTAGAAAGAACAAAGATTTCAAAAGATTACTCAAAACTAAATCCGTAATTCGAGTGGGATGTTATCTAAGTAGGCGAGCTTAGAAGTAAATTCTAGTATTAAACTCCCATTATTACGACTTCTGTTTGTAGTTTTTCGAAAGTTTTAGGGGTTATTAGCTATAAGGAAACGGGCGATGTTCTTGCTATTTTTTAAAATGTGGGAGAGCCAAGCTTCGGCATGGATGGGTCGGCTCAACCGGAGAGATACTACGGCCTCACAGAAGATTCTTCACTATCCAAAGAATCTAGAATGCACGAACTGAAAGCTATCTAGGTACCTACCTACCAAAAATATTCCTGACTATCTCTCAAAGAAACAGTAGACGTGTAAACGTATTTAGTTCTAAGCAAGGAACCAAAAAGAAAAGTCTTTAATCAATCGCTCCCAAATTCGCGGTATTTACTCTAAATTTTCCTCGAATTTTCCGAAGGCAACATACAGTCTGCGGATTTAATATAAATATGGCGAATCTATGTTTGCTACTATGGCACGTTCCCAAGCCATAGAATAAATAAAGATGGTAGTATGTTATCTGTGGCCGGAGAACACGGTTGTATACTGGCAGGCGCCCACGCAGCCATCAACAGTTTTATGTTTAAATTTCGAACCGCGAACTTTCGGAGTGATTGATAGTATCCGTTACAATGATAAATTTGTTCCAGTGTTGGATTGGTCCACCTGTAAGTTTTAAATTATTCCTTTTTCAAATATCTTTGTTGCTTTTCCTTGATTGTCCTTATCTAATTTTGATTGTCTCTCTTTCTTACTCTTGTCTGAAGTAGTTTCGAGCTGCAAGCTATCGGAATAAATAAGAGCATCCGTTTGCCTTACAATGATTGTTCCAATATTAGAATAGTGTTAAAGTAATTTTTTTTACGGTTTTCCTTATTTAATTTTAGATACTCTATCCTGGTGCCTTTTTCTTTCAAGATATTATGTATACATTATGCACATTTGTACTTTTTTGCACATTATGCTTATTTGTATTTCTAAACTTTACATATTTTATAACATATTTTAAACTTACATATGTATATTTGTAGTTTTTGTTTTGCACTTCATACGCTATGGCCTGCGTCTGTATCACCACAAGGTAGACTGTGAGAGAATACCTAAAGCATTAAGTTCACCTAAGCGCTCCAAATTATTCTTAAATGCTTTTGACCTCTCCGATTCTTCCATTTTGTTTATCTATATAATAACATTTCAATATAATTTGATAATTTATTTTTCATTAAAGATTTGTTATTTTGACACTTTATTCCTCTTACAATGTCTCTGATTTTGACGTCGCCGTTCTCGCAATTTTTTTTCCATCTATTGCAAATTTATACTCCAATCCAAAAATCCACAATTTTCAAATCCCTAAATAACAAAAAATAGGCACAATATTGCAACTCCTCTGATAGGTGCTATAGGCAAGGTAATAATATCTACAAGTATTTCAACTTCATAGAAACGGCCGAAACGCGAACTATACCTACGCGCCCGATGTCGGGACGCGCTCGGGACGCAGACAGACGCGGCTGTACCGCAGTGACGAATGGACGGTGTGTTGTCTTTTATTTAGAAATCAGCTCGAGTACATTATTTAATATGACGAATAGGAAATATTGTGCTGTTATTATGTTTGGTTGCATGAATTCGTCAATAACGCATCCAGACATAAGTTTTATTTAAATTACCTGGAAACTGGTTACTGGTTACTTACTAGTAGCCTAGGTAGGTACATAATGTGTGTCTTTATGGATCATTATTTCCAGTTATCTCACGAAAACAGATGTTTGAATTTATAAATAATATGAATAAAGTTATTGACGGTTCATGTATGTTTTGTTAGTTTGTATAATTCAAAGTAGAGAGTGTGGTATTTTCTTATTAATAATATTTGTTTATTATCTGCGTTTATGAATAATACTAGAAAATATTTAATAACAACAATAAAACAGCTAGACTCATCTAATATTTTGATGTTTGAGGGTTGTGATTTTAGAACATTCGTAGTCAGCTGTTCAGTTCGGCATTAGTGGCCAAAGAAATTTTGTTTGTTTATTTTTAAAGCACTTTATTTGTTTATATAAAAAAAAGGATATTTACAATCACAAAACTAAATGGAAACAGAAAGTAGACAAAGGTAATTAAAATACTGGAGACGAGCAGCCCTAACGCATGTTTACGTACCGCGCGGCTGTAGGTATTTATTTCTTTCAAGCGGCCGAGTTACAATACTGTATGATATTTATACTGTGCTATAGGTATTAATAGTCGAGTGCTTACATACACATAGACATATCAAAAAAAAAATCCAAAATTTTTTTCTCCCAAAACTTCTAACACATTCTCTTTAAAGCATTCTCTCTGTAACATATTCCAGTTTCCAAGAATCAAGAATTTCCAATGCTTATTAAAGACTGTTCAGAACGCATGTAGGTACCTCTAACAAAAAGGCAATGAGGGACAAACGAAAATTCTTTCCATTAAAACTTTTTTATGGTCCAAACTTGGACGATCGTTAGGCGGGAGTTTGAAGAAAAATGTATCTATTTGAAGAAATATTTTTAAAAGGAGTTCATAAATGACGTAATGCGTAGTTATTTACATCAGTTTTTCTGTAGGTAAACCTGATTCCAGGTGTTCTGAAAAAAATGTCGTGGTGGCCCGGAGGTTAAGGAGCCCGCTTCTCATGCATGAGGGTGTGGGTTCGAAACCTGGCAAGGACCAATGTGACTTTTTCCGAGTTATATGTACTTTCTATGATTATTTAGACACCACTGACATACGGTGAAGGTAAAAATCGTGAGGAAACCTGGACTTATAATTTCTAGTTATAAGTTTGAAATCGCCAACCCGTATTGAGCAAGCGTGGTGATTAATGCTCTAACCTTCTCCGTGTGAGAAGAGGCCTTTGCTCAGCAGTGGGCACTTATAGGCTGAAGATGATGTTTTAATTCGTGATTGGTGCTATTTTGCAGCTTCTTTATTGGTTAAATATTCATTCATATATTTTATATTTACACAGCGCTTAATATCTTTCTATTTTTTTTTAATTATATAATCTAGTGCTTGACTGCAAAAGTGCAATCCCACCTGATGGTAAACAATGATGCAATCGTGGATGGTAAGGCGCATTAGTTTTAGAGTCTATTTACTCTATCCTTGAAAACACCTAAACAAAACTGGATGGGAAGACCGTTGCAGGCAAGCCATTCCAATCCTTAGATGTGCGTGATACTTGAACCGCCTCTGGGTTTGTGAATGTCCATGGGTAGCACTGATTGCTTACCATTATTACAAGTGCCTTTTGGTCCCCATCTCTTAAAAAGTGAATCTCAATTTGATTTCAAAGCTTCAGTTAAAGACTTAGATATTTGCCTATTGGTTTTGCCTACTTAATTTATTAGTCGTCTTTTTAGATCCAAAAATGCCAAGTTCTTTGGAAACAAATGTTTTATATTAAGCTCTATTCAGTATTCGATGCTGATAAAATGTTTAAGAATGCGAAGTCATCAGACATTCTTTTAATGTCATTTGTTGGCACATGAGCAGATGGATTACCTGGTGGTAATCATGGCAATCAGCGTCGCCCATGGACACTCGAAATACCAAAGGAGCGTGTGTGTTGCCAACCTCGTCGGTTATTAGGGATTTAAGGAACATTGTGCCTCGGGTAGCCTCACTCACACGGCCAAACACTACAAAAGTGTTGCTCCACGCCAGATTTCTTGGAGATCGTGGTATCACTCCGGTCGAGCCGACCCATTCGTTCCGAAGCATGGCTCTCCCACACTTGCAACATTTTGGAACATATCCTTTGTAGAACTCCAAAGAATAAAGAATATTTGAATAGCGAACATTGAACAACTATTGAATAGTTTGGTATTAGATGTTCAGAATAATTAAGTTTCAGAATAACAGTATTACACATGGTTAATTAATCGCAACTTTGTGTGCAAACGCTAAGACTTCGTGTAACATATTAATGCTATTATGAAGCGTTAATGAAATTTAATAATTTTCATTATATTCTCGTCATGTGAGTGGATAATGTATCTACATATTGAAAAAGCCTTTGTCAAGAGTAAATTCGAAAACTAAAACAATTTTGTATTTACTCTTTACTTATCTTTTCTAGAGAAAGACATTGCAATAAATGCTCTGATTAATAATAATTATCAAACTTAGATTGGAACTGTTCAACGGGCCTCTGCGAGTTGACTTCGGCTCCTCGTACGCCTTCCAAAGGCCCGGGATCCTCTGGTCCCGTGACAGGAAAGAACAAATAATAATAATAATAAACACTTTATTGTACACCATTTTTACAAAAGACACATACAAAAATAAAAAACAAGCTGATTATTCACTTTTTTTTTTGTATGAAACACGGGTTACATAGATATAACATTTCTTATAAGTTCTGCATGTTTCGCCGTAGCATCGGGATACAAATATAAAAAAGGGTATTTATCAACAAGAAAAAATTTAAAACAAATAAAAAGATCTTAAAAACGAATAATACAATATTAAGAATTTATGGTACCTAGCCTAAACAGTTTTTTCCTTATGAGCCATGTCTTGTCTTGTATGGTCTGTTTCAACCATTTTGTAACAGCAACTCAAACTTGATTGTAACAACCGTCTTTAAGATGTCATAGGTATGTATTTTACATTAAAATACACGGACTCTTTAATTTACTGATTATTATTATATGCTCAAAATTTTTGTCAAAATAGGGGTTTACCTGAAATGTGAAATGTCTCAAAATTAATGCTTAAACTTCAAAATTACTGAACCAATAAAGAACTACTTAAATTAAAAAGGTTAACACAGTCAATAAAAGCTTTAATAAGTATGAAAATGTTCAACACAAAAAACTGTTAGTACCTAAACATAAAACTGTTTTACTTATAGCAGATATTACGGTAGGTAATTACTGAAAAAAATATAAACACCAAGTGCGAAAAACATCGTAAAACCCACAGAACAGTGAAAACATAAAACCCCTTTGTTTATTTCTCAAATCCAAAGTTCCAAACCCCCGTTGTTATCGGTAACAAAGAAAATCTTGCCATCCTAATACCATGGCTGACTGTTACAATGTTGGGGAAAATCTCACGTGCACATTGGACACGTTTAGTTGTTATCGCAAGATTTACGCGCGTTAACTGCAAAACAAGATGGCTACCGTTGTAATGATGGCGCCACTATTTATGTTGTTTATGGTTTCTAGACATTTTTTCTTTTTTACATTGAATGGTTTATAGTCGTTGGTAGTTAGTATGATGTTCTATTTGCTCTTCTAGATCCTGAAATTATTTTTACATGTATGTATGTATCCATATTTCTAAAGGTAGGTACTTTAATTTAGGACTTGTGTAGGATTGTTTTGATAATTTATTGACCTATAAAAATTGACAAAATAAATTTGGCAATGCCTAATTTATTTTTGAAATAAACACACGAGGTACAACGCAACAATAATTATTTACATATTATATTGCTTCTGAACATTTGAGTAGGTACAGAATAACGTCTCTTAATCTTTTATTAAGGTACTTCCCTCTCCACATTACACATTAATTTGAATAATTCTCTACAAAACTCTTTCTTTCTGCAACAATAAAATGCCTTCTTCTCTGACATAAACTGAATAGCTTCTGCTACATAAGTATCTTGCAAAAA